ACAACAGCTATTGGTGGACCAGGCAATGGAGGAACAAGCACTGCTAGTACAAACACCGTTCCAACAACAACAGCTATTGGTGGACCAGGCAATGGTAGTAGCATTGGTGGACCAGGCAATGGTACAGACAATGGAGGAACAAGCACTGCTAGTACAAAAACCTTTCCAACAACAACAACCGTTCCAACGACAACAACCATCGATTGGTTAAGTGCAACGCCGCATTTACCCAACTTTTTCGAATATCCGGAAGCTGAATGTAATGAGGATATGGGATTACATGAGGTGTTTGGAATTACACTTGGTCGAGATCACGGGCTGCCCGCTAAAGTTTTGTGTCAATTCAACAATAGCTGGGGCGGTCCTTGGTTGCTGATGTATCGAGTGGAGCTGCCAGTTCGGGTGCACTTTAGGCATTGGATATTTGGCTATCTCACCGATGACTACAAAGACTTGAACATAAATTATTTGTCCTTGGCTCATATAATGAATAAGATGCGCTTGGCTATGCTAATCATAGGGCAGAATAACAACAAACAGTTGGTTTATAATTTATACGATGATGTTGTCATATCGAGTTTCAATGATCTGTTCATGCTGCGCAAGGCTCACCTTGTCGAGTCGAACACAACAGATTTGCTATACCTTTCAGTAGGTGAAGTGATTCAACTGGATGCGGGCAGGAATCGTTCGTGTCCCTTTCGTGTGGTGGGCGCCTGGTGGGGTAACCAGATAGAAAGGGATGTGGATACCTATTGGTAAGACTTAAGTTCCAACAACAAAATTGCTATTTGCCTATTAATTTTTAATTTTCAATTTGTTTAGTGTTTTTCCCGTGGAGCGGGATGTGAAGAAGCCCGGCTATGTTGCCTTTTTTATCAAGCCCAATCCTTTCAAGGTCAACAATACAGCTTTTTACCAGACAGAAATAACGACGCGCCGTCCTTGGGCCGCAACCATAGATTTGGAACTGATGCAACAAGCAAACAATAAGAAAGAGGTTTATGAAGAACTGCTTAACGATAAGTTCTGGAAAAATAAGGTGAAAGTTAGAAAAGAGATAAAGCGACGTGAAAGAATTAAAGAGCAGTTCGAAGAGGAGCGACGAAGAGAAGATCAAGCTGGTACAATGACCAAAACCTAGCACCACTCAACAGCAACTTTTAGCTTTACCTTTAAAAAAAAAAAAAAAAAAAAAACTGAAAATCAAATTATTTTAGACGAAAAATAGAAAATCTCAAGACTCAATATAATTATAAAATCTAGATTAGTAAGTGATAAAATCTAAAATTACTTTTTATAAAAAAAAAAAAAAAAAAAAAAATTTGGAAAAAAAATTGTTATAGTTACGAATTAGTTATTTTAAGAGGGACTATCAAATACTCGATCAAAATCGAAAGCAAAAGTCATTCACGCTTTGTAAATTAATATTAGAACTAAATTTGTTTGTCTAGCCGACGAAATTAACTTTCAGATAAAATATGAATAGAAATAAAATAAAATTTAATATACAATAAAATTGTGAATACAAAATATGTTCTTCTAAAGCTATAT